AGAATGATAAGTATTCTCACCCTGGCTCATTCAATTGTCAACAGAGATCAATGAAGCATTGTCATAGTGTTGAAATTTACATTCTGTAATGGCATAGAAAAATTAAACCCATAAAATGGAAAGAATGACAAAAATATTCTCTTGTCCTAACACTTTTGCACAGTACTGTAAGTGCTTACTAAAATATTTCCTATGAATTTATGTAGTGATTCGTAGTGTGTTCAATGACAGACTTATTAGCTTAGCTAAAGCTTATTAAGGTTTTAGTTATTTTATAAAAGACTCTACCTACTATAGATCACAGTTTACTAAGATTTTACTTTATACTTTATTTTACTGACCTTATCTAACATAGATCACAGTTTACTAGGTTTTACTTCTATCTGACTTTATCTACTGTATATCACAGCCTACTATGTTTTACTTCTACCTGACTTTCTATCTCGTATCATTCAGGAAAGTGGTTCAACTACGGGATCATCATATTCGTGATGATTTTAGATCTCAACATGTTGAAGAACCAGATCTTCTATTCTCCCAAAGCATATGGGCAGTATATAGGTCCAAATCACAAAATATATACTGTAGCTGATCAGAGACTTCTAGCAACAGGTAAAGAAGTGTTTTCCAAGTGATGTAAATGATCCTATTAATAATATTCATGTATCGCGAGTGTTGTAATTTAGTGAGAGATTATAAATTGCACTACACCTCCAAGCAAAAAAATATTGATTTTGTAATTTTTAGAGTAGATTAGTGTAGTAAGATAATACATTTGACCGTTACTACAGATAAACAAGGACAGCGTGATTTTTCACGCGCTTAGGTATTACAGAGTTGTATAATACATATATATGTATTTATTTTTGTTGTCATAAAATCATCATCGTCATTATTATTAGAACAAGAATATAAGTCAATTATTTATTATAATGGTACTTAGTTATCAATGAATCCAACAATATGTTTTTAAATGTGTAGAAAGCGTAGAAAAAATATTAAACAATACTGTGTGGTTAAAGTAAACGAATGTCTATGAAACTGAGAATATAAGTGATTTAACTGTCTTAGCTTTGAATTTAACAATCATGATTGGGTCAAGTTTTCCGTTTTAGATGGGCTAGCTATGAACTAATAATTACCGTGTCCGGTTACGTATGGAATGGTTCTAAGATCGAAATGTGATGCCAGTGAACACGCTCCTTATTTTTAGCTGCTGGTGCGTTATAGAAATGACAATTAATTCTGTAATAAAGCTCAAACAACCGGATGAACTATTTAGTGATGGCGGCAGGTACTGCTGGTTGGTTGTCCAAACTCTGGTCTGTGATTCAAGATTAGGTACGACTACACTTGAATATTTGGGAGTACATATTTGGTCGTTTAGACTTTAGACGACGTATATATAAGATAACGCTCGTGTTTACAATGTCATCGCTTTCTACATACAAAAAAAAAACTTTTCAGCGATTTGTGTATTTTTATCATATATTGCTTAAAAGAAATGGTCGGGAGAGATATGCTACTTTGAAAACTACAGCAAAACAAAACTAAAACTTATTGGAAAAGCACTATACCTCTCGTATTTCATTCACCTTTAAAGAAGACGTAACGAAATTTTGCAGAATATCATGTTTTTTATCTAATTCATTAATTCTGATTAATTCAGTGTGAAAATATGGTCAGCACATCTAGTCAGTTCTTCAATTTTAATAATTTCTGGAAAAGTCTGTTAACCTATGTTCGTTGCTCGTAGTGTATTATTTTCGATTTTTCATATGATTAACATTTTTATACAAATAGTTCCACAATGAATTTATTGTGTGATTAAAAACAACAACAACAATAGTAAGTTTAAATAAGTTTATGATACTTCTCCAAGAGCCAGATATTTTTCGATTAATTTCTCCTAATTGCGACCTCTAGAAAATATATTTTTAAAATATAAAGATACTTTGTTAAGCCCAAACTTTTCAGTAAACCAGTACGATATTCTCAAAATATCATTGATTTTGTTTTCAAACTGTAATATGAACAAAAATGTGTACTTTCTGTACTTTAAGTTGATTTACTGAACGTAGATGGCGCTACATTCGTGCTATCATTAGTCTGATTGTTGCTGCCACTGTTTTCGCGCAAAGCTACGTGGAATCTAACCTTGAATTTGAGCGTTGTAAGCCTGTAAGCTTACCGCTGACCCACCAGATGACCAATTAGCGTGAAAAGTGTTGGCATTTTCAACATGAACAGCAATTTATCCCATACATATGGGTTCAACGGTCAGATCAGGCATTTCCTACAGGGTGTGAAACCGGTCCGCAGCATCCGTTGTTATGTACTCTTAACCAAATAACGGGATTAGCTGTTACACTTGTAATGCTCGTAGATTAAAATGTGGAGCATGTTCATTGGCAAACTTCAGACTTCCCAGTCTGCAGTTTGGTGCCTTACCACTCGTTCACACCCGTCCACACATGTAAAGACAATCTATAATTAATAGACGAAACAAACGCTACAAGAAAACAGTCTCATATAACCAACTGAAGTGTATACCAGCAAGATACAAGAAAGAAATAACCTAGACAACATTTAATCATTAATTAATGTGATATATAACAAAGTTGTTGTACTGTTGAAGAAATCACGTGGTTTAGTAATGAATGAGTTTCTGTATTTATTTTTTTTATTTTTGCAAATTTGTCTGAAAGAGTCATTAGGGTAATCCTATTAAAACAACATTTTTTATTATTTGGCAGACACAGAAAAATATTGTTACGTCTCCGTTTGTTAATTGATTTTTCCGTAACTT